AGAAATGTCTATCAGAAGTTCGCAGGTGTTGTCACATATCAAGATATGATAAAACGCAGACTAACCTTGTCACGTGGTGCATGACGTAACGTGAAAACATCTAATCTAGGGCTTCGCGAGATCAAGAGTTCAGTCTTGGTATTGTCTTGGTCTTGATATAAGACCAAGAGCAAGACAAAGTCCATGACTTAATGAATCTTCCCTAGACCAAAACCAAGACTTGACTTTCAAGACCAAGATCAAGACTTTCTTCCAGGAGTCTTGATCTTGATCTCGAAAGAAAAATAATGAACTCAAATCTACTGAATATAGAAAATCTGATGGAAAATGTGATGGCATTTTATATCAGTTTTTAAGTTCTGTTCACTCAGAATCCGAAATAAATTCTTCAAAGGACCCCGCACTAAACTATAGAGAAAATGGCTCTGAATGAAAATCGCTGAATTCTTGGTATTTGCAGACTTTGATATACTGACCAGATATTCCATTGAACGAACCTCAAAAAATGGACAGTTTTTTCGATATTGAACTCCAAATGTCACTTTTTCGAGAAGAAAAAGTATCTGAAAATGGTTGAATTTCTGGCATGTTGTAGATAGGAATGAACTGATGAAAAAATCCAATTGACCTTACTTCCAAAAATTGACAGTTTTATGGATATTGACCTCTAAATGTAATTTTTTCAAGGAAATAGATTTCTGAAAATGGCTGAATTTGTAGTATGTTGTAGGTAGGAATGAACTGATGAAAAAATTCAATTGACCCAACCCCAAAAAATTGACAGTTTTTCGAAATTGACCATCAAATTTACGTATGGAATATATATGTACAGTATGATGCAAATGTATGGAATAAATTCATTTCAAAACAAGACGACTTCCGAAAAAAATCCAAAAACTAGACTTCAGAACTTTATTAATTGATTTATTTTTTTAAGTAGACGACCCTTCGTTGTTCAATTATCAGTAGTAGACCTCTGCAAGATTCAGTTAATCAAATGATAATCCATTTTAATTTCAATTTTCTTATGCAAAATTTTGACTGTTGAATAGACGATCAGTAGACCTTCCAAACAAGGTGTCACATGACCCCTGTTTTCATTTGAAAAGATCGTTCATTACGTCATTACTCCAACACCGGTGACGTAACATCTCTCATATGGATATCATGAGATGAGGCTTCAAAAATGAAACCTCACTTGTTTTTGGAATTTTTTCAAATGTCGCCCATTTCTGAAATAATGAATTTATTCCATACATTTGCATCATACTGTATATATATATATACATTGAAACATTGAAATAATAAGTGTGATGGGCAAAAAGACACAAAAAAGACATGAAAAAAGTTATCGAAATATAATGACAAACTTCAGAAATCTACTCACCTATGTATATGAGGATGATCAGGAAAATGTGTTGGAAAATCGAAGCTGCAACATAATTTAATTGACTAATTTTTCTAGTAGGTTTACTCATAGATTTCTGAGGATGCTCCATAATGAAGGACGAAACGTCGATGATGATGAAACATTATTTTTTCCCGACTCTTCTGACCTTGAAATTTCACAACATTGTTCAAACAATAGCAATATTATCAAAGATCATCAAGATGAAGAAATGAAAAAAAAATGATTGGGAATCACGTTTACGACTTTGAACGAAAAAAAAAAACACAAAATGTTCACTTAAAAACCCTTATCTGATAATTTTTCAAGATTAAGATCGAAGCTTTCATAATCAACTTTTTTGTTGTCTAAAATACTGATGATTTTGTTAATTTGAACAGATTTTCATCTTTGATGGATATAAAGTTACACGGTGAACATTCTTGAGTAGATTTTAACTACAGATCCATACAACTTTGTGTCAGTCAAGGTCCATAACGGATTGTGAAACCATTTTAAAGCTATCCTTTGAATTATACTGATACATAATGGAGAGAAATCATGTACACAATTTTTTCAGAATTTCATTAAAATTTGACTTCTTGATGTAACAAATTGTACATTTTTATTTTGACGAAAAGCTTCGCCCAATTGATATCTTTACCATGTACTAGTGTGACTTTGCTCATTAAATTTGTATAACCCTGTACATGAGCACAATAGAGAAATCTGAATCTATATTCTTCTAGCTCTCTTATGACGTTTCTGAAGACGAATAAAAGTATTCTGTATTTCGTACCAATTTTATATTATTCTTCGAAAATGATTCCCTGCGCGAGGACGATGCAAAGCAGTCTCTTTTCTACATCGTATACAGGAAGGTTTACGTAGATTGTTCAGTTTCCAACAATTTTTCAATACGTATATATTATGAACATGAAAAAATCGATATATACATATGAAAAAATGCATTGAGGATTCGCATTCTCATTTTGATGAATATATAAACTCTTCATCGGTATATTCTACAGAAAACAGCTATTTCCTGGCTATATGCCACGACGAACATTGAATCATATCTATTAGGGTTGAGTGGAAGAGCAGCTGTCGATTTATCGGCGAGTTGAACTCTGCCTTTTGTTTCATTGAGACAATAAAAGCATTTATTATTATTATTATTATTATTATTATTATTATTATCATTGAACACAAATAAAAACATTCTGAGAATAAAATTTTCTGAAGTTCACGCAATATGCATTCTCCTTCAGATAGAGATGATATCATTCTTAATATTCACCAGTAAACAGCTACTTTCCTAGCTCTTTTGCCACGGCGAACATTTGATTTGTTGAACATCCAAATAGAGAACATGCAGATGAAAATCCTATGAAATTGAGAATTGACATTCTCCCCTTAATGTAATAAATAATATTATGTATTATGATATAAAAATATAACTTACCAATATGATTGTTCAGTATTGATATGACAATTGAGATGTATAGGAGAAATATTTTTGTATGAACTCTGATCATGATGAGCTTGAGATTTCCAATATCTCTCACAAAGAGGTTGGATGACTTTATTCGAATGAGCTCATTTCGGTTATCAAATCCTTCTCAGTAACTTGAAGTCAAGTTATTCTTTTAGCTATTCTTCATGAAATGAACAATTTTCATCTCTCTATAATATAACTGAAACTATAACGAACTCACCCCTATGGGTTTTATCAATTCAGATTTTTCTTTCCACGTCCTGTATGCGATGAATATCAATTTTTCATACATCCAAGCGCGTATACTTCGACGAATAAAATCTATTTTGACCATCATATTCCAATGATAATTTTGCAATCCTGAAGTTGCCATATGGTCAACATTGGGTGATGTGTTCAGTTTCTTTAGATTTTTAGATATATACCAGGTGTCCCAGAGCTTTTAGGCCAGCAGATACGTACATCAAAAATTCGAAAAATTGTGGTATATATGAAAGCAGAAGCTCTCCATGACAATCAAATCAAATCACCCTCAAGTTAAATTGCTGGAAGATAGCTAGAGTCCATAACCAACCAAAAAAAGGAACAAAAACCTGCCCAACAACTACAGGTCTATTGCCCTGTTTTCAGTAATCTCCAAAGTCATGGAGAAAACCATCAACATTGAGCTTATCAAATATCTGGAAAGCTCAGGAATCATCAATGATAGGCAATATCGACCGTGTTTGGCACCATCAAGGACTCCTTCACAAACTAACATTATACAGATTACCACATCATTATCGAGTTTTCTTTCAGGCAGATCGCTCCACGTGGTGTTGGGCCAAAACTCAAGCTTGTATTTTCTCTAGAAAGGCGGAACTTGAATTTTTTAGTCGGTTTTGGCTTTTGCCACCAAATATCAACTGGATATCTACTTGCCTACGTCACCCATATATAGCAAGCTTCATTAGGAAGACATGGGGGCTGATTTCTGGCCAGATGACTTCACGGTTCTTCAATTTTTATTTTCATTTCATAATGTGATTTCCACATGACCTCATAGGTACTGTGTACTGATGTGTCTGAAGATGACTGTTCGAGCCGAAACTAGTCACGATACATTTTATGTAATATAATTTTCGTGGTCGACTCACTTGGTGTTATTCTGTTTCTTCTTTGAAGAAAATTTGAGAGGGATGGATGTTTTCCATGACTTATCTCTAGCTGTGGCGTTAGACCTATCGAAAGCATTCGACCGTGTTTGGCATCAAGGACTCCTTCACAAACTAACATTATACAGATTACCACATCATTATCGAGTTTTATTTCAGGCAGATCGCTCCACGTGGTGTTGGGCCAAAACTCAAGCTTGTATTTTCTCTAGAAAGGCGGAACTTGAATTTTTTAGTCGGTTTTGGCTTTTGCCTCCAAATATCAACTGGAGATCTACTTGCCTACGTCACCCATATATAGCAAGCTTCATTAGGAAGACATGGGGGCTGATTTCTGGCCAGATGACTTCACGGCTCTTCAATTTTTATTTTCATTTCATAATGTGATTTCCACATGACCTCATAGGTACTGTGTACTGATGTGTCTCGAGATGACTGTTTGAGCCGAAACTAGTCACGATACATTTTATGTAATATAATTTTTGTGGTCGACTCACTTGGTGTTATTCTGTTTCTTCTTTGAAGAAAATTTGAGATGGATGGATGTTTTCCATGACTCATCTCTAGCTGTGGCGTTAGACCTATCGAAAGTATTCGACCGTGTTTGGCACCAAGGACTCCTTCACAAACTAACATCATACAGATTACTACATCATTATCGAGTTTTCTTTCAGGCAGATCGCTCCACGTGGTGTTTGGGCCAAAACTCAAGCTCGTATTTTCTCTTGAGAGGCGGAACTTGAATTCTTTAGTCGGTTTTGGCTTTTGCCACCAAAGTTAAGGAACTTCAAAATAATGAAATGCAATTTTTCACTGAAACAGGCTCATTCAAAGCCTTATAAGAGGAGCGATGGAACCTCCATGATATTTACATATTCATTCTCTTTATTAACGTATTCTGAGACATAGTTTCGACAATTATTAATCAAATGTCAAATATATTCAAAAAAATGTTACAGACAAATCATATTAGATGTATTCGAAGAAATTCATGCATGGGGTTGTATTACTTTTTTGGAATCAGCTCCTATCGAAATCGTGAGAATCTAAAACTAATAACACTTCAATTACTAAGACTGAGGAGGAACTTTCAGAAACTCGTCATCTTCATCGTCTGCAAAAGAGTTGGTTAAATCCTGCTTCTTCGCCCTTTCACTGATTTTTTTTGCCGAGTGTACTCTCTGAGCAAGAATCTGAAAAAATAAAACGATAATTATAATCAAGACTTGTTTGACTTGTACATACATAATATTCAAATGATTTGTATTTTTCTCAGGGAGAGATATATGCAACTAGCCCCCAAACTCGCAAGTTATTTCTAAATATCTCCGTTAAAATTAGATAGATATCCTTCAAGATACAGTATATCAAGGAAAGCACTAAAGGAAGAGAGCATCTATTCTCATAGTACATTTCTTGGACATCTCATAGATTCTTTCATCGCAACTTTCATGGCAGCAGCAGGATTCGTATTAGAAATGATACGTCTTTTCTGTTAAGGTACCGTTTTTGGCGTCTCAATATAAATCTTTCAACACCATTCTTTCAAGATATCAAATGGAGCAATCAAAATTAACTTGATGAACGCTAAATGGCGCTGCGTATGAATTATTGGTGGGTATGATTGTTGCCACGACAATTAACTACCGGGTTGAATTGATTTATAAACAGCTTGGTCACGAACGTAATACCCGATACTCGGAAACCTATTATTTTATAAAAACTGCGTTGTCAGCAAAACGAAATAATATGTTAGTTCGAAGTTATCTGAAGACTCATACACGAGACTTTACATCGATGCGATTACTAACGATAAACCACATATCGACTGTGAAATGACGACAGACAACTGATAACTATGAATTGACGACTGACGACTGACGACTGACGACTGACGACTGACGACTGACGACTGACGACTGACGACTGACGACTGACGACTGACGACTGACGACTGACGACTGACGACTGACGACTGACGACTGACGACTGACGACTGACGACTGACGACTGACGACTGACGACTGACGACTGACGACTGACGACTGACGACTGACGACTGACGACTGACGACTGACGACTGACGACTGACGACTGACGACTGACGACTGACGACTGACGACTGACGACTGACGACTGACGACTGACGACTGACGACTGACGACTGACGACTGACGACTGACGACTGACGACTGACGACTGACGACTGACGACTGACGACTGACGACTGACGACTGACGACTGACGACTGACGACTGACGACTGACGACTGACGACTGACGACTGACGACTGACGACTGACGACTGACGACTGACGACTGACGACTGACGACTGACGACTGACGACTGACGACTGACGACTGACGACTGACGACTGACGACTGACGACTGACGACTGACGACTGACGACTGACGACTGACGACTGACGACTGACGACTGACGACTGACGACTGACGACTGACGACTGACGACTGACGACTGACGACTGACGACTGACGACTGACGACTGACGACTGACGACTGACGACTGACGACTGACGACTGACGACTGACGACTGACGACTGACGACTGACGACTGACGACTGACGACTGACGACTGACGACTGACGACTGACGACTGACGACTGACGACTGACGACTGACGACTGACGACTGACGACTGACGACTGACGACTGACGACTGACGACTGACGACTGACGACTGACGACTGACGACTGACGACTGACGACTGACGACTGACGACTGACGACTGACGACTGACGACTGACGACTGACGACTGACGACTGACGACTGACGACTGACGACTGACGACTGACGACTGACGACTGACGACTGACGACTGACGACTGACGACTGACGACTGACGACTGACGACTGACGACTGACGACTGACGACTGACGACTGACGACTGACGACGACGATTCTGAATTCAATTCACAGCAATTAATCTGTTCGCGATGGATTCATCATTGTGATCTTTAACTTGGATATATATGGTAGGTACATCTATTTCTTCCGGTGATTGGCAATTAACGAGATAGTATTGAAATAACATCTCAAATCTCAATACAATAGAGGATTCATAAATTATGAATGCTGTTTCTTACTTGTTGTCTCCGGATTTCTGCTTCGTCTAATTTTTCTTGTAATTTATCTAGCGTTACGGGACTTGATGGAGGTTCTTCTAATCGTTCTAATATTCTCCTCGGTGGATGCTTCTTCACTATACTTTCTTCTGATTCACCCTCTTCAAAAGCAATTTCGAAAGAGAGACCATTAGCTGAAAATCAATGAAGATTTTTGGAATCAATAATTTTTTGTACTTATTAACAATGACTTCCGCTTTAACTGTAACCAACCTCGTGAATCCGAATAATATGTTTTCTCATACAGTACATGGTGAGCCAAATCAGACATTCTTTTGGGAAAAATAATTTGACAAAACTCATTCAATATTCGTGACTATTTCATACTCATTGGTGAAACTCCACATAGATGTCTTCCTCCGTTTCAGACTAATGAGTTGTTTTTCGAAAATGTGCATTTTTCAAAAAAGTGACTGATACTAATTTTTTTCTAAAAAGTTCCTTGTTTCGATGAAAACATTCCCAAAGAATTAAGCTTATCATCAGAATTAATCCTTACGCATTGAAATTATTACTCGTGTATACCTAGTTAGAAAATAGAAATTCTCCTCGATAGTAACAGATTTTATTTTTGAATCAGATAATATATGAAGACAGATTTCGATAGAAGAAGATAATCGACCAAATATGCATTCACAAATCGAGAAGTTTGCATTTTTTCTGAATACCAGTAATATTTAAACTCACTGGCAAGAAAATCGGACAGAAAAATTTTTTGCAAAATTGATCACCTTTTTAATTCTTGTCCGATTCTGATGAAATTTCGACCAAATCGTAGATTCATTTCTGAGTGATAGCGTGATCTTGAAAGAACCTGATGGCTTGATCAGTTATACATCAGAAAAAACAAAAGTTATACTCTTTCACCCATAACTTCTTAATGCTCTGTGGCAAAGCTGGGTAGTTAAACTTAGCTTTATCATGTTCTGGATTGGAGTAAGATTTCCTGAATAACGTCAATATATCATCTTTTGAAAAAGAATCAAGTGGAAAAATTTTGAGGTTATCCTCAAGACTGCTTGAGAAATTTTATCAACTCTATGCCAGGGCGGTTGAATGCTGTTATTCAAATGAGAACAGGGCATACTAATTATTAACTACATCTAGAAGGTAGGCTTTTCGTTTGTTTTCAGTAATAATATTAATGATAATGATGGAAATGAACGGTTAAATTTTTTTTTAATGTTTATACAAACATATGGTAGAGCGAAGTTTAGCCATCATGGCTACCCTTACACCCAACCCTGTACATTGATAATACATAATTCATAAACTTAACATACTTAATCACTGAATGCAGACAACTTGCAATTAATCTATCGAAAATAATTTCAAATAGCGTTTTGTTTCAAAAATAAATGTAATTTCAGACGTTTTTTGAAAGAATAAATAAGTAACATCAATTTTGAAAGAGGAATCAAGTGAATTGTACAATTTCAAAGCAATATTGGAAACAGATTTCTGGTATAATGCTGTCAAATGGCGCGGTATATGCAATGAGTTGTTCTCTTTTATATTCACATTATGCTGTTGGTTACGGAATATCAAATTGTTTTTCGAATAGATTGGTCTTGACGTAATCAATTAACGATGACCAAAAATAAGATAATGATATTTCCACAAAAAATCAATATTCAGCCATCTGAGTGCACGAAAACAGTGGCTGATATGATCAAATTTCCTGAGACCATGGATGAAGCGACAAGTATCTTGTATTCTTTGCAATCTTGTCTACCATGTCTAGATGAGGATAAAATAATATAAGACAGTAATGATGTATTGGCAAGACGATTGTTCCACACAGTTCCTTTCTTATGGAAAAATTCAAAATACTTTCAGTTGCAAATGAGAATTTCAGCGACAGATATGATTTTTTTACTATCAATCAATTAATCAAGGTTTCTCTCTGCTAGTGAGTGCCAAAAACGGGGTGGAAATGAATGATATACGTTTTTAGATGTTTTTTCGAGTTTTTCTGTTTATTTGAATAATCCATACTTTCTCACATCACTTGTATCTTCTATAGAAGATAAGATATTGACGTGATCAGAAACCATTTTGTTGGGAAGGGATCACACTTCAATCCATAACGAAATGAAACTAGGTTTAACCGTTCACTCTTCGTGCAATAGAAAGTTTTGTATTTTACTGTTTGAAGATTGATTGATTTTTTTTTGAGAACTTGAGTTCAGGTTAACATTTCAAAACGTCAGTCAACGATTTGGTTGGAATTTCACCAAAATAGGACAAGAATTAAAAAAGTTACAGGGCGCCCAATTTGGTGATTTTTTTTTGTGATGGTTTTTTCTGCCGGTTCGTGTATTATTCACCTCCTTTTAGAACATTGTTGACTGTAGCATTCTCTAATAACTCTGCTGGAATATCATCTGGCTCCAACTGATGTATATTATTTTGAGGAGGGTGTCCTGGAGAGATTGGCACCGTTCTATTTGCATTCCCATTTTCTAAATCTCGGTTACCGTCAAGATTTTCCATTTCTGCAAAATTCTTCGCTGCACTGCATCCCATGTCTATGAAAACATTGTTCTATATAGATTATGCAGGTATAGATCTCAAACATGTTGAAAACGTAAAAATTCAATGCCCAACTATCTGCCTATATCTAGTCTAATAATGTATAGAAATATGTGTTGGAATATCACGGAAACTGTATATTAGTCAAATTCTTCTCAAAATATCTGTACAGAAGTTGATGAAGGAAATTGAAGTTTTATCCACACTTATGAATTATGGAGTAGTGGAATAATGAAAAATACCATCTTGGATCAATCACATGTCACTTATTAATAATTGATATTTATATTAACATCAAGTTTGATAGACATTTCGTTCTCCGTTTCATCACATTTCACTTCGTTTCTTCGTTTCCATTGAAAATAAGCTTGTAGTTGTCATTTGTTTCAGAACGCATAGTGCCTGTCGAAGTTGGCGAAGTTTTCGATGAATCTCTAGAATCAATAAATGTCTCCTCTTGTAAGGAATGATTAGTACCAGAAGAACCTTATATTTTTCTCGCTTTATCCAGCTTATAGAATATACAGGTTTGAAAAAAATGTGTAGTAGAAGTATAGAAAACTGCAAAATAAGTTTGCTCAATGAAAAAGTGTCGTAACAGTGTTTGTTTTCAAGAGACAGGGTGTTGAAAAAAATATTTTCAAGATATACACACAAAATCAAAATTTTTTACGATTATGTCGATTCTACAGTCAATATTGTCATGAAATTTCGAATGCGCTGAATACACGGTTCGTACCTAGTAGTAGTTTTGAACATAAGTTTCATGGGATTGTATTTTTTGGTCCTAATTTCATGTGTTCATGAACATTATTGAATTGAGCACCAAAAAGGTACTTTTGAAAAACTCAATACCGTGTACCGATTTTGGAATATTTTTATTTGTAAATAATGGAATAATTGATGATGCTGGTATAAGTTATGTACTATTGGAGCAATTACCTTCTTATTCAAACCCAAACACAATAACATTATTCCTTGATTGAAGTAGAACATTGTGATAAATGTGTATACAAACATAAAATATTGAATCGGTTAGTGTTCAGAATGTCCTCCGTTTCTACGAATACACAGTGTTATGTTTTTTCATTAAACGGTTGAGGATCAGCTGTTAGGTTATGTTTATGTTCAATTTCGCCTTGCAACTCTTGATGTGAATTTACCCCTGTAGCACAAACTTTGTCCTTATAAGATTCAACCTCCGAACAACAAACCCTCTGTTTTATTAAAATTAGCTTCTTTTCTTCATAAACAGGACTTGAGAGTAGCGTATAGAACAAATAACACGTTGGGAAGGTTTTTCGGAAATAATAAAGACAAAACTTTTGAATTCTAAAAATCAGTGATATACAAACTCAACTGTGGATCTTGTCCTAAGGTATATATCGGTCGAACAGGTCGTACGTTCAATCAGCGCATTCATGAACATAAGGTGAATTCCTTGAAAAAGAAAAACGAATCAAACAGACGCCAACCATATATTAGAAGAAAACCATAGTTTTGATGATAATTTCGAAATTCTACACGTAGAAAATGAAGGAATGAAGCTCAATCATTTTGGATCATTAAAAATCAATAGACTAAAAAATTTTGACCTCAATAGTTCACCACTATTGGATTTCCCAGCGAGCACAAAAAAATCTCAGAGATGTTAAAAGTACGAGATTTCGAGACATTGAACCTCCAAAGCGATGTTCTGTTCACACATGAATAGAACTATCATAGAACAGCCAATGTCCGTCGCAGGCGGCAATTATCGAGATGTCCTTGATATGTCATAAAACTACCTTCTCCCTAGTTATTTTTAAAGACTTTTCATGGACACAACAAAACATTTTCAACGCGTCTTGCGCACATCAAATCGCTGTAAAAAAAACATTTTCGAGGTACTTTTCTGAAGCCTTTTGTCAAAATGAACTTTTGCATTAGGATTCCATTTCCCTTGAATGAAAAAATGCATTAAAAATAGATTGAACATAAAAATATTTTCTTGATATGAAATTACCTTCTTAATCGATTTCTGAGTAGTGCTTACTACACACAGACATATAATTGGAAAAAGGTTTCCCAATTTTTGAAATGTTCTCCACAATGCATAATTTTGCAACTGCGGAGAAGCTGTGTATTGATGAATTCGTACTTTTATATATTGATTACACTGAGGCACCGAACAACACATCTTGCATCTGATGGTCATTATTACAAACTAAATAAGTCTTCTAACACAATAAACTTCACCAAATTCCTTTCTGTTCGTTAGCAGCGTGATGTAAGCGTGACACGCCGCAAACGCGAATGCCAATTGCGAACAAGAAGAACAAAATCGAAAACAAATCAGAATTCATCGTATTGTGACGTTGTGGTGGGGCAAACAAAGAAAGGGCACAAAAGAACAAAAACAATACTCTCAATAGCCTTCTAAGACCTCTTTGGGAAGTGCATATTACGCCTCAAAAAATCATCCTCATGCCTACATTTCTAAAACATCCCAGGGATACCTCTCAGTTGGCAAACAAAGAAATGCCACAGAAGAACAAAAACAATACTTCAATATCCTTCAAAGACCTCTTTGGTCAGTGCATATTACGTCTCAAAATAACATCTTCATGCCAACATTTTCTAAACATCCCAAAACATCCCATGGATGTTTGTGCTCGCTGGGTAGCGACACAATGTTCTTTGTTCAAGAATTTTGTGTAAATTTTATCGTTTGTGAAGTTTTTACATTCGCCATGGATTTCCATCAAGTAACGGCCGAGTCAATTCAAAATCTGAAACTTTGCATGCACTTTCTCAATTATTGGCAGACTTGCAATTTTTTCCGTACCCTCATACACAGATCACCTTGCATAGGATGGCTGGCTAGTCAAGCCCTCACTTAATTGTAAAAATGGATTCAAAATACACTGAAGTTCGCTATCAATCACTGGGTTTTGTGTACTGAATGTTGAAACTTTGTTTGAAGTGTCGGCATAAATATAGGGGCATAAATCGATTCTTGCTTTGTGTTTGATATTTTCATGCATTGGGTACGCACGTAACAAGTCTAATCGTCGTTGATAATGTTTGTTGTCTGCGGCATAAGGGGCGACAATTGGGGACTAGGGGGGCATTTAACCTCCCGCTCGTTGAAGGTACAAAGAAACCCTTTGAAATGATGAATTATTGATTATTGTATACGTTATTACAAGTCATTGATCAGAGGTTGACAGCCGAACCCGAGCATTTGCTTTTGCTGAGGTCATTCCCAGCGAGCACAAACATCCCTGGGATGTTTTGGGATGTTTTGAAAATGTTGGCATGAAGATGTTATTTTGAGACGTAATATGCACTGACCAAAGAGGTCTTTGAAGTAAATTGAATTATTGTTTTTGTTCTTCTGTGGCATTTCTTTGTTTGCCTACTGAGCGGTATCCCTGGGATGTTTTGGGATGTTTTAGAAATGTAGGCATGAGGATGTTTTTTTGAGGCGTAATATATGCATTTCCCAAAGAGGTCTTGGAAGGATATTGAAAGTATTGTTTTTGTTCTTTTGTGTCCTTTCTTTGTTTGCCCCACCACATCGTCTCATGCTTACGTCACAATACGATGAATTCTGATTTGTTTTCGATTTTGTTCTTCTTGCTCGCAATTGGCATTCGCGTTTGCAGCGTATCACGCTCACATCACGCTGCTAACGAACAGAAAGGAATTTGGTGAAGTTTATTGTGTTAGAAGACTTATTTAGTTTGTAATAATGACCATCAGATGCAAGATGTGTTGTTCGGTGCCTCAGTGTAATCAATATATTAAAGTACGAATTTATCAATACACAGCTTCTCCGCAGTTGCAAAATTATGCATTGTGGAGAACATTTCAAAAATTGGGAAACCTATTTCCAATTTTATGTCTGTGTGTAGTAAGCACTACTTGGAAACCGATTGATTAATAATAAGGTAATTTCGTATCAATAAAATATTTTTATGTTCAATCTATTTTTAATGCATTTTTTCATTCAAGGGAAATGGAATCCTAATGCAAAAGTTCATTTTGACAAAAGGCTTCAGAAAAGTACCTCGAAAATGTTTTTTCACAGCGATTCAATTGGCGCAAGACGCGTTGAAAATGTTTCCTTGTGTCCATGAAAAGGCTTTAAAAAGAACTAGGGAGAAGGTAGTTTTGTGACATATCAAGAACATCTCGATAATTGACGCCTGCAGCAGACATGTTCTATAAAAGTTCTATTCATGTTTGAACAGAACATCGCAGTGGAGGTTCAATGTCTCGAAATCTCGTACTTTTAACATCTCTGAGATGTTTTTGTGCTCGCTGGGTGATCACCGGACACTGTTTTACCACTAACCAAACCGATTTTTTACACTTTCTTCTTCAGAAGAAGAAGAATAAAACCCAACCGTATATAGACAATAACCGCCCAGTTAATGTTATTCATGTTTGAGTTCACATGTTATATTACTAAACATACAATGCCAAGATCAGATCGAAACTCATAGATTGTCCCAATGGCTCCCGTTCGTTTTGGTCCCTTGCTAAAGCGGTCGGAAGAAATTTCACTAACAGTTCATTTCCACCACTGTCCAAATCCGACGGCACATTAGCAACAACATCGCAGGAGAAAGCGAATATTTTTGCAGAAATCTTCGCAGCAAACTCTACTTTAGATTCCCAAGGAAAAGTGCCGCCAGACATTCCACCCGTTGAGAGTCGAATTCCCGAAATCGTCTACCGTCAACGCACTATCAGACGAATTCTGCTTGGTCTCAAAACGAATGAAGCTAACGGTCCTGATGGAATTCCACCCATTATCCTCAAAAAATGTGCACCAGAATTAACACCGATTCTCTGCAAGTTGTTTACCATCTCGTACAGGTCGGGTATTTTTCCATCATGCTGGAAGACAGCTAGAGTCCAACCAATCCCCAAAAAAGGGAACAAGAACCTGCCCAACAACTACAGGCCCATTGCCCTGTTATCAGTAATCTCCAAAGTGATGGAG